GCATCCCCGCGGTCACGTGATCCAAATTCAGAGGCTTGGCAACTGGCATGTACTTACGATGGGTTGCAATGTCCCAGGATCACGTGATCTCCTTTTGCAACTTTCCGACGAACAAAGTCAATGGGAGAAAGCTGATTCAATTAACAACTGAGTTAATGACTTAACAACTGTGGCGATTTGCTTAACAAGGTCAGAGAACGGGGCAAAACTCAGTTAACTGATACCTCACTTAGCAACATAAATTCTGGGCTCAGTTGTGGACGCAAGTCGAGGACAACCTGTGATGGGACTCCGTCTCGTGGGACTGCCTCCCCAGGCCAACAAAATCCCAGACTGTGGATTTCAATGCCTCCTAATTTTGAGAAAGGTTGAAATGGTTTTCCGTCGTGTTCTGTACGTTTCCATTATTCTCTACGTTTGATAGGAGCTATCATTGCGGTTTTAAGATTTAAAGGAAAACAGAGCGTGGGAGAGACATTTATTATCTCTTTTCCTAAGTGGATCCCACTTCGGCCTGCCAACATGTATTAGGAGAGTTGAAAGTATATGATTATCCTCCGCTTTTTAATATGGCAAAATTGTGAGTGTGGTGAAATTTTGTGATTAAAACATACGAAGAATGGCTGCAGGAATTGGGGATGGCCAGTCTAGAGAAAAAAAGGACTGGGGGGGGGACATGATAGCGGTACTCCGGTATTTGAGGGGCTGCCACAAAGAAAAGGGGATCAATTTATTTTTGAAAGCACCAGAAGGAAGGACAAGAAACAATGGATGGAAACTAACCAAGGAGAGAAGCAACCTGGAATTAAGGAGGAATTTCCTAACAGTGAGGACAATTAACCAATGGAACAACCTGCCTCCAGAAACTGTGAATGCTCCAACACCGGAAGTTTTTAAGAACAGACTGGACAACCATTTGTCTGAAATGGTACAGGGTTTCCTGCCTGAGCAGGGGGTTGGACTAGAAGACCTCCAAAGTCCCATCCAACTCTATTATTATTATATTATATTATTCTCCAAAGCACCAGAGGGCAAGACACGACATAACGGATAGAAACCAATCAAGGAGAGAAGCAACCTGGAATTAAGGAGAAACTTCCTAACAGAGAGGACAATTAACCAGTGGAACAGCTTGCCACCAGAAATTGTGTGTGTGCCAACACTGGAGGTTTTTCAGAAGAGACTGGACAGTCACTTGTCTGAGATGGTATAGGATCAGCTTGAGCAGGGGGCTGGACTAGAAGACCTTCAAGGTCCCTTCCAACTCTTATTATTATTATATTATGTTATAAATTATTCTCCAAAGCACCAGAGGGCAGGACAAGAATGAAGGAGAGAAGCAACATGGAATTCAGGATAAATCTCCTAACAGTGAGGACAATTAAGGACAGTCACTTGTCTGAAATGGTATAGGATCAGCTTGAGCAGGGGGCTGGACTAGAAGACCTCCAAGGTCCCTTCCAGCTCTGTTCTGATTCTGATCTCTGAAAAGGTCCCATTGCAGAAGGTTACGAGCGAGGCGTCCTGGGCTGATTTGAGAAGGCCCAGATGGGCACCAATGTGGGCCCGCAAGGGGTAGGGGGAAATTTTTCCCTTTCCAGGTTTTGTGCAGTCTGCTGGCTCAGCTCTTGTGGAGCAGTGCAGTTTTGCCGCACTCAGCTATTTCTGCTAAACCACCAGGAGCCCCCTCCCCTCTTCCCCCACCCCCAGGCGACTCCGGTTTCCAACGTGTCAGTGAGTTAATTGGGGTCCTAGTTGCCGCATTCATTAAAAGGAGGCACGTGCTGCTTCTTGGGGGGCTGAAAGAGTTTAACGGTCCTAAACAAGCTTTCTTGGAGAGAGGAGGGGGCGTTGCTATTGCACGCCGAGGGAGTGTTCAAAGACTACACTCGCTTTTGCAAAGGGGGGGTGTCCCCCCTCCTCTTTTTTATTTTATTTGTATTTATTTACTAAATTTAAATGTATTCAATTTCCACGAGGCCAGTCAGATTTGCAGTTGGCTCGTTTGTGCAAGGGGTGAGCCTCTCATTCATTTTATAGGTGGTCCTCGATTTACGACAGGGGTCTTCCAACTTGGCCCTTTTATGACACGTGGACTTTAACTCCCAGAATTCCTCAATCATCGTACCTGGCTGAGGAATTCTGGGAGTTGAAGTCCACGAGTCATAAAAGAGCCAAGTTGGAAGACCCCTGATTTACGACCACAGTTGAGCCCCAAAATTTCTCTTGCTAAGTGAGACAGTTGTTCAGCGAGCTTTGCCCCGTTTTACGACCTTTCTTGCCACGGTTGTTAAGTGAATCACTGCTGTTAAGTTAGCTACACGGTGATTGATCCCCTGGCATCCCCTTTTGTGACCTTCTGACAAGCAAAGTCAACAACACAGGTCGTAAAATGGGGCAAAATTCACTTAAATTACTGTCTCAGCAACAGAAATTTTGGGCTTAATTGCAGTCGTTATGTCCAGGACTCCCTGTATAGGGTTTCCTGCTTGAGCAGGGGGATGGACTAGAAGACCTCCAAGGTCCCAATGTCAACATTCTGTTAAATGAAAGTGGTGAGGTTTGTTAATATGCCAGTCATTGCTAGTGTCCTGGTGGGGGGGAGAAGGGGAGCTTAACTCCCTCCTTTCCATCCAGAAAGCCACTCCCAGCTCTGAGCCACGATACCGGGCAGTGGAGCCTCCATAGCCAGAGGCAGTCTACCATGGAGAAGCATCCTCATGCCAGGCGAAGCGAGTAGGAAGGCCGGCGTGCCAGGGCTAAGCCCCTCAAATCCTTCCCCCTGCTAGGAAGGCAAGGCTGGGCGGCCTCGCAGGGGGGTGGGGAGATGATGGGATCCGTCGTCCTAGGCCAAGGGGTCTTCAAACGTGGCCCTTTGATGACTTGTGGACTCCAACTCCCAGAATCCCTCAGCCAGGACGCATTAAGACAGGGGTCTTCCAACTTGGTCCTTTGATGACTTGGGGACTTCAACTCCCAGAATCCCTCAGGCAGGATGCTTTAAGACAGGGGTCTTCCAACTTGGCCCTTTGATGACTTGCTGGCTGAGGAATTCTGGGAGTTGAAGTCCACAAGTCATATTCAAAGGGCCAAGTTGGAAGACCTCCGGCCTAGGCCTTGCGGGGCTGCGTCCCCCACGCTTGAGTTCCCCTTCGCCGCAGAGCCGGAAGTGGCCGGTCGCCGCGGGCCCCGCTCGTGCTCGCCCTCTAGAGGCCGCGACGCGTAAAAGGGCCCGTCGCGCGGCGATGGCGTCACAGGGGCGCCGGCGGCGGTTGGAGGCTCGGATGGAGCCCGAGCAGGAGCGGCTGAGGCGGCAGATCCGCCTGCTTCAAGGTGGGCGTCCCCGGGGGCGCTGGGGGTGATGGGAACTGTAGTCGGGCCCCGGAAGGAGAGGCCCAGCCTGAGGGGCCCGGAGGGAAGCCGGGGAGGGAGCAGGCCGGCCTCCTTCCCTCCTCAGGCCGGGCCGGGGAGCCTTTCCAGAGACGGGCCCACCAGGGACCCGGCCAGAGTAGGCCCTGCCCCAAACCCTTGGGTTGGCGGGGGCGAGGGGGAGACGGAGACCGTCACCCTCTTCCCTGCGGGTGTAAGTGGACGGGGGGATGGATTGGATGGCCTCTGAGGGGCCCTCCAGCCCTGCTAGACCAGGGGTCCCCAAGTTTGGCAACTTTACGACCGGTAGACTTCAACTCCCAGAATTCCCCAGGCAGCTTTGAAGTCCGCTTGTCTTAAAGGCCCACGGCTGGCTGGCCTGGGGAATTCTGGGAGTTGAAGTCCAGCAGTCTCAAAATAGCCGAGGTTGGCTGGGGAATTCTGGGAGTTGAAGTCCAGCCGTCTCAAAATAGCCGAGGTTGGCTGGGGAATTCTGGGAGTTGAAGTCCAGCCGTCTCAAAATAGCCGAGGTTGGCTGGGAATTCTGGGAGTTGAAGTCCAGCCGTCTCAAAATAGCCGAGGTTGGCTGGGGAATTCTGGGAGTTGAAGTCCAGCAGTCTCAAAATGGCTGAGGTTGGCTGGGGAATTCTGGGAGTTGAAGTCCAGCCGTCTCAAAATAGCCGAGGTTGGGGACCCCTGTGCTAGAGGGAGAAGGTTTGTGGCTGGTCTGCTCATTGGAAACAGAGAGGTCTCCCCCGAGGTCTTAGTTTTCTCCTGGGTGCTGAACTGTTGAACGCTACTGTTACGATTCAAAATGCTTGTAGCCGCTTTACTATATGGTTGAGAGGCAGTTTGGTCTAGTGGTGAAGCTCTCGGGAGGCAAACCTGACTTTGACAGGGAGTTCTAGTCCTGCCTTAGCTACGAAAGCTGGCTGGGTGACTTTGGGCCAATCATCAGGAGACGGTGAATTATAATCCTGCCTTAGCCATGAAAGCTGGCTAGCTGACTTTGGACTAATCACCAGGAGACGATGAGTTCTAGTCTTGCCTTAGCCATGAAAGCCGGCTGGGTGACTTTGGGCCAATCACCAGGAGACGATGAGTTCTAGTCCTGCCTTAGGCACGAAAGCCGGCTGGGTGACTTTGGGCCAATCACCAGGAGACGGTGAGTTCTAGTCCCGCCTTAGCCAAGAAGCCAGCTGGGTGACTTTGGGCCAATCACCAGGAGACGATGAGTTCTAGTCTTGCCTTAGCCATGAAAGCTGGCTAGCTGACTTTGGACCAATCACCAGGAGACGGTGAGTTCTAGTCCCGCCTTAGGCACGAAAGCTGGCTGGGTGACTTTGGACCAATCACCAGGAGACTGTGAGTTCTAGTCCCGCCTTAGGCACGAAAGCCGGCTGGGTGACTTTGGGCCAATCACCAGGAGACTGTGAGTTCTAGTCCCGCCTTAGGCACGAAAGCCGGCTGAGTGATTTTGGGCCAATCGCCAGGAGACTGTGAGTTCTAGTCCCACCTTAGGCACGAAAGCCAGCTGAGTGATTTTGGGCCAATCACCAGGAGACGGTGAGTTCTAGTCCTGCTTTAGGCCAGAAAGCCGGCTGGGTGACTTGGGGCCAGCCACTCTCTCTCAACCCTCCATGTCAGGCTGAGGCGATAAGCCGGCCGGTCAGTTCCTGTTGCAACCAAGTGAATCAACACTTGGTTGATTCAGAGAAATGCAGACACTTCACTTGCAGAAGAAATGCTAAAAGGGGAAAATAACTGTATAATATATATATATATATCTTTATGTTTTTGAATCTCTGTTCATGCCTGGTTACTCCCTGGACTAATCTCTGCATTTTGCTTGGTAGGATTTTCAGGAGCTGCTTGACCTCGTCCTCCTCCTCCTTTATCAGGTAAAAGAGAGGAGGACTGGCCCAAGGTCACCCAGCTGAGTTTGTCAGATTAGAACTCGCAATCTCTTAGCACCTAGCCTGCTGCCTTGCCTGCTTCTCTGAGCTGGCTTCCAGCACATTTACACACAGAAACAGACACAATCCTGGAATCTTTATTTTGGACTCTTTGCTTCAAGAAAAGGTTGGACAAGCATTTGTCTGGGATGGTATAAAGACTCTTGCCTGGGGCAGGGGGATGGACTAGAAGATCTCCAAGGTCTCTTCCAGCTCTAGGAGTCTACGAAGAACAACTGTAGTGGTGTACAAGGAAGCCTAGAGCAAGGGCCTATGGCAGGGGTCTTCAAACTTGGCCCTTTGATGACTTGTGGACTTCAACTCCCAGAATTCGTGCCTGGCTGAGGAATTCTGGGAGTTGAAGTCCACAAGTCATCAAAGGGCCAAGTTTCAAGACCCCTGTTTTAGTCAGTGACACGGTTGTTAAGTGAATCTGACTTCCCCCATTGGCTGTCCTTTCAGAAGGCGGCATGGTATTTTTATTTTAAAATATCTCCCACTTTTCAGTTGTCCACAGGAAGAGCTGCAGATCAAGTTTTAAACCAGGGGTAGTCAACCTTGGCTCTTTTATGACTCGTGGACTTCAATTCCCAGAATTCCTGAGCCAAAGTTGACTACCCCGGTTTTAGACTATCAACTTCTAACTGCAGGAAGTTCTTGATTTGCAACCGTAATGGACTCACCAGTCCGGATTCTCCTCATTTGTTTAGTCACCGTTCGGAGTTAACAACGGCCCTAAAAAAAAAAGTGACTTATGACCATTTTTCATACTTACGACTGTTGCAGCATCGCCCATGATCAAAATCACATGATCAAAATTCAGACGATTGGCAACTGACTCGTATTTATGACGGGCGCAGCATCCTCGGGTCCCGTGATCCCCTTTTGCGACTTTCCGACAAGTCAAGTCCATGGGGAAGCCAGATTCACTGAACAACTGACTTAACAACTGTGGCAAGCAAGGATAGAATAGATTAGAATTACATAATAGAATAGAATAGAAATAGATGAATAGAATAGAATTAGATGGTGAATAGAATAGCATAGAATAGAAAATATGGAATGGAATGGAAAATATAGAATAGAATTAAGAATTAAGAATTAGAATAGAACTGGAAGGGACCTTGGAGGTCTTCTAGTCCAGCCCCCTGCTCAAGCAGGAGAACCTATACCAGGGGTAGGCAACCTTGGCTCTTTTATGACTCGTGGACTTCAACTCCCAGAATTCCTGAGCTAGCCATGCTGAGGGGAAAGGGAGAGGTTTCCAAGCTGAGCCAAGCTGGCTCAGGAATTCTGGGAGTTGAAGTCCACGGGTCATAAAAGAGCCAAAGTTGCCTACCCCTGACCTATACCATCTCAGACAAGTGACTGTCTAGTCTCTTCTTAAAGACCTCCAGTGATGGAGCACCCAGGATTTCTGGAGGCAGGCTGTTCCACTGGTTAATTGTTCCAACTGTCAAGAAATTTCTCCTTATTTCCAGGTTGCTTCTCTCCTTGATTGGTTTCCATCCGTTGCTTCTTGTCCTGCCTTCAGGCGCTTTCGGGAATAAGTTGACCCCCCTCTTCTTTCTGGTAGCCCCTCAGATACTGGAACTCTGCTATCAAGTCACCCCTGTTTCTTCTTTTCTCTAGACCGGGCAAAGCCAAGTCCCGCAGCCCTTCTTCGTATGTTTTAGTCTCCAGGCCTTGGATCACCTTAGTTGCTCTTCTCTGAATTTTTTTCCCAAACTCTCAATATGTTTCTCAATATGTCACAATACGTTTGTTGTAACGTAAAATGTTTATATCCATAAAATGTTGTAGGGTCTCCGGCTTAAGCAGGGTGGTGGTGGTGGTAGGCGGGTGGACTAGAAGATCTCCACGGTCCCTTCCAACCCTGTTGTTCTGTCGTGCAGGCCTCATCAATGACCACAAAAACGCCCACGGGAATGCACCGGTTCCTCCTCCGCCTGCTTCGCTCTCCAGGTGGAGAAATCCTAAACTTCCCGCCTTCCAGAGCCAAACTGCCTTCAGCGGCAGGTACGGCCAGCAGCCCTCCCGAGATTTCTCGTCCGGCCCGGCCAACGCGACAACCTGGAGGAAGAAATACTCTCTTGTCAACGCGCCGCCTAGTGCTTCCTGGTCCTCCCAGAGCCACGCCAGCAGGGAGGCTCCTGAGCCACAGCTGATGCTTTCGGAAGCCGCGGCGGCCGTCTCCAGCGCGAAGGCGAAGGCCAGGCTGCCAGCCGGCTCCGTGGCGGGCGATGCTGCCGGCTCCGGGTTCCAGCCGGGCTTTTCAGGATCGAGAAAGGGACCGTTGGCTTCCAGGGGAAAACTACCCACAACTCCTTGGCCTTTAAATGCGGACCCGAGTCGGAACAAGGAGATGTGTGCTTCCACTCTGTCCCCCTTGCCTCGTTGCAAAACCCCGGCGACGGGTGGAAGTAACCGACCGGCGGCGGGTCAGAAGAAGCCTGTGGGGAGGAGTGAGCTGACCGCCAGTTTAGGCAGGACTATCAGCGAGAGTGCCATTGCGCTGAAATCCGAGCCTCGGCGCTCTCTAGCCGCACCCGAGCAGGGATCAGGATCTCTCCCAATCTGGAAGAAACCATCACTCCAGGGTTCACACCTGTGTGGTTCACACCGCCAGCCCTCCCCGGCAGGGACCGTCAAGCTGAGCCCCGCCAGGAGCGCGGATCTGTCTGCCGGCTGTGCCCGTTTGGGCGAGGAAGCGTCTTCCAGCACCGGGAGGAGTCTCCCCCCAAACAGGCCCGCTGTATTTCTGGTCCAGAAGTCTTCTTCCTTGCCGGCCTCCGTCCGGTCCTCCCGGTTCAAGAGAGCCAACTACACCTGGGTGGCGAATCCCAGCAAGTCCCCCCGAAGCGTGAGGAGGTGGGCCGTATCCAGGGCCTCCGAAAGCAACCCCAAGCCTGCCGCCTGCGCCCCGGCGGCGTCCCCCAAAGCGCAGTCGAGGGGAGCGAATCTAGACTTGGGGGCCAAGCCAAAGAAACCGAGCCCCCATTCAAAGCTGGCGGTTTCCTCCAGCCAGTACAAGTGGAAAGCGGCGAGTGCGAAGTCTGCTCCCCCTCCTTCCACGTCCGCCTCGGTGTTCACGTGGAAGCGCAAGGAAGGGGTCGGGCCTGGCGATGCCCCCGGCACGGGCGCCGCCAGCACGTCGCTCCAAGCTCTGAGGCGTGTCCCGCTCGCACACGGCCATCTTGCCCAGGGCAGCTCGAGAGCCTTCTTTGGAACTACCAGCTTTTTCAATTACAAGTTGAGGAGTTGGCCTAAAATCATTAAGAGGAAAGGAAGCGCCGGGTAAGTTCCTGAACCTCCTGGGAGGGTAAACATTTGTTCAAGTTGTTGTTGTTGTTGTTTTAACTTGGATTGCTCATCCTGGTTATAAAAGTGGGAATGGAATGGAATAGAATTACGAATTGGAATTAGAATTAGAATAGAATAGAATAGAAAATATGGAGTGGAATGGAATAGGATAGGATAGAATATAGAATAGGATAGAAAATAGAGTAGAAAATAGAATAGAATAGAATAAGTGTAGAGTAGAATAGAATTACAAATAGTATAGAGAATAGAGAATGGAATGTGGGATGGGATGGGATGGAATAGAATAGAATAGAATAGAATAGAATAGGCAGGACAAGAAGCAACGGGTGGAAACTAACCAAGGAGAGAAGCAACCTAGAACTAAGAAGAAACTTCCTGACAGTGAGAACAATTAACCAGTGGAACCACCTGCCTCCAGAAGCGGTGAATGCTCCAACACTGGAAGTTTTTAAGAAGAGACTGGACAGCCATTTGTCTGAAATGGTATAGGGTTTCCTGCCTGAGCAAGGGATTGGACTAGATGACCTACAAGGTCCCTTCCAACTTTATTATTATTATTATAGAATAAGTGTAGAGTAGAATAGAATTACAAATAGAATAGAGAATGGAATTGGATGGGATGGGATGGAATGGAATGGAATAGAATAGAATAGAAGTGTAGTGAAGTGTAGTGTAGAGTAGAGTAGAGTAGAGTAGAGTAGAATTACGAAGAATAGAGAATACAGAATGGAATGTGGGATGGGATGGGATAGAATAGAATAGAATATGGAATGGAATATGAAATGGAATATGTCGGAGCCTGCAGTCTTACTGTGCTGAGGTAACCCAGGAGTAAATTGTATTAAATGGTGGTTTATATTACAATATCTACAAATATACTAGAAACAAAACAGTGGAACCACCTGCCTCCAGAAGCTGTGAATGCTCCAACACTTGAAGGCTTTAAGAAGAGACTGGACAGCCATTTGTCCGAAATGGTATATAGGGTTTCCTGCCAGAGCAGGGGGTTGGACTAGATGACCTCCAAGGTGCCTTCCAACTTTTTTTTTTTTTTTATTATTATTATTATTATTATTATTATTATTATTATTATTATTATTATTATTATTATTAACGTATGTGACAATTCAGCAAATTCCAATACACAGCAATTACAGCAGAGAACTGACGAGAGAGAGAGAAAGACTCCAGCAAAAAACCTCCCTTTTATACTCAGGCTCTTAAAGGGATACACACACCTGCTGAGTCATTCCTATTATTGCATCATACGCCTTACATTGCCTTACATCATTACATAAGCTGTTTAGCTATTATTATCCTGACACAATAGAATACGGAATGGAATGTAATAGAATACTTTATTGGCCAATTGGACCCCCTCTTCTTCATGGCAGCCCCTCAATATTGGAACCCTGCTATCATGTCCCCCCTCGTCCTTCTCTTCATTAAACTACCCAATTCCAGCAACCGTTCCTTATATGTTTTAGCCTCCAGTCCCCTAATCATCTTTGTTGCTCTTCTCTGTACTCTTTCCAGAGTCTCAACATCTTTTTTCCATCGTGGTGACCAAAACTGGATGCAGTATTCCAAGTGTGGCCTTACTAAGGCCTTGTAAAGTGGTATTAACACTTCACCTGATCTTGATTCTATCCCTCTGTTAATGCAGCCTAGCACTGTGTTGGCTTTTTTTTGGCAGTTCTTATTTAATGACATAAATTTTGGGGTCAAGCGTGGCCGTACGTCATGCACATTTCAACCAAGATGAAGGAGAATTTTGGGTTTTCTCATCCAGACGTCTGGAGGGAAGAGGCCGGAATGCTTCCTTGTGGCCGGAGCAACCTGTACGACAGGTGTGCCCAAGGAAGATCCTGCCCAGGTTGTGTCATGCCGTGCTTGCATTTGGTTCCCAGAGCGGATTGGGGTTTCCATCAGGGCGCCGATGGTCCTTTGCCTCCATGGCCTGCACGTCGCGCCCGAGACCTTTCGTGGCACCCCTGCCACGCGGCCCCTTTGCAGATGCGCTTGTGTGCCTGCAGATGCCTTGCAGGGAAGGATTCTGACCCGTGCTTTGCTTCTTCCTTCCAGCTCTCCCACCCTGCTCCTGAAGAGCCGTTACTGCCTCCGGAAACGTCACGCCACGCGGGGAAGGTCCTCCCCCACCGCCCGCCGAACCGGGACCAAAGGCCTGGTGCAAATCGGCAAACATAGGTTGCGCCGGCTGCCGGCCTCCCGTGTTCCTGGTTCGCCCAAAGAAGGTAGGAGAGGCTTGGAATTGGGAGGGGGTGGGCGGCAGGGGGGAGTTGGACCCGCTGCCCTCGGCTCTGGACGGGCGGCCAAGAGAGACTGGCACGGGCCAAGAGGCCACCGATCGTGGTTCTTCTCTTGGGTTGGCTACCCTCGTTCTGATCCGGAGGCTGGTTTTTGAGAGGGTCTGTATAGCCCAGGGGTAGGCCACCTTGGCTCTTTTATGACTGGTGGACTTCAACTCCCAGAATTCCTGAGCCAGCTATGTTGAGGGGAAAGGGAGAGGTTTCCAAGCTGAGCCATGGCTGGCTCAGGAATTCTGGGAATTGAAGTCCACGAGTCATGAGGGGACCATAATTCCCCCATGCTGGCTCAGGAATTCTGGGAGTTGAAGTCCACGAGTCATAACAGAGCCAAGGTTGCCTACCCCTGGTATAGCCAAACAATTGGGACCGGGGAGCGACTTTTCCCTCATCCCCCTGGAGGGCTGTGGATGATGTCCCTGGAAAACCCGGGGTGTGTGTGTCCCAGATTTGCAGTACCCCATTTGTGGTGTTTTAAGGGTTGGCTGCCTCCCGCTTCCGAAAAACCGTTGTGGTTTGTATTTAGGATTAAGCTGTCGAAGGTCACCTGATTTTGTTGTTAGTTGCGAAGTCGTGTCCGACCCACCGCGACCCCACGGACAACGTTCCTCCAGGCCTTCCTGTCCTCTGCCATCTTCTGGAGTCCATTGAAGCTCAGGCCTCCTGCTTCAGGGACTCCATCCAGCCACCTCCTTCTCCGTCGTCCCCTTCTTCTCTTGCCCTCCATCTTTCCCAGCATCAGGCTCTTCTCCAGGGAGTCCTTCCTTCTCATGAGGTGGCCAAAGGACTTGAGTTTCAACTTCAGGATCTGGCCTTCTCAAGAGCAGTCGGGGTTGATCTCCTCCAGGACTGACCGGTTGGATCGCCTTGCAGTCCAGGGGACTCTTCTCCAGCACCAGAGTTCAAAGGCCTCAATTCTTTGGTGCTCAGCCTTTCTTATGGTCCAACTTTCGCAGCCATACATTGCAACTGGGAAAACCATGGCCTTGACTATACGCACTTTTGTTGGCAGGGTGATGTCTCTGCTTTTTAGTGTGCTGTGTAGATTTGCCATGGCTTTCCTCCCCAGGAGCAAGCGTCTTCCAATTTCTTGGCTGCAGTCCCCCATCTGCGGTGATCTTGGAGCCCAGGAAGATAAAATCTTGTCACCTGATTTTAGAGCTGTGCAAATTTGGGGGTTGGCCGATTACTAATTGGGGGTGTGTGTCATACATTGCCTGTGGCTTGATGTGAGCTTGGCTATAAGAGTTACGTGGGAGAACGACTCTTTGGCTTGGCTGTCTTCTCCTGACCTGCCTTTACCTCAAAGGTGGGTCTGTCCCTTCCTGGAGTTAATAAGAACAGGTGTAAAATAAAGGTGTAAAATAAAGAGGGAAGCTCTCGTCTCGGCTGAGCCTTTGCGCAGAAGGGCCCAGCTCGGCCTCTCTTTTTTTGGCATTTGTAGTTTTCGAAATGTTGACAATGTCAGAAAAGCCGTTTGAAGATCTGGGGGGCTGGCGCATCGAAAGACAGAGGTGCCTACAATTGTTCTCTCGGCTCTTTATCTCGTTTACTCTCCCCACGGGGCAGCTCTGACTATCCTCCTAAACAGGACTGTGTGTGTGGGGCGGAAACGAGGCTTCCGTACGGCTTTTCATCTTGAAATGCGTATTTTTTTAGAAAAGGCTGATATTTAGATTTTTCAGCCTGCCCTGCACACAAAACAGCTCCAAGCGTCATAGTTCTGCTTTTCGTCTTGGCATCTTTTACAACTCGCATTTTGGGCTTGTACCTGGGGGGGAAAAAAACACGGTTTGTGTACGTGACCTACATTGATTAGGTGCGACTCGTTCTGG